GGTTACTCGGCCTGATTCAGCAGGGTTAATGGATGGCTCTAAGAATAATTGTAAATTACCTGCTTCGTTCAAAAACCAACAAAGTCAGAGCTAGAAAGGCCTTCATATCATTATCTAGTCTGGCTGCCCATTTTGACACCCACAGAGAAGAAGAGAACTTTCTCTTCTTGTAAGGTATGCTAGTGAGTAGTGGCCCGGACAGGACAACTACGCAGGACCCCCCAATCCTGGGTTGCACCTAAGTTGTTGCATCAAACAACAGCTGCATCTCAGGAGCCGGGTGTCCCTACCTCTCACCCTCTGCACCTTTTGTTCCATAAACTTCTCCCTCTGCAGCCTACAAAAACGGTTGACATCAATCATCTTATGAACGTGACAGTGAGCATGAAATCCACCACTTTGGGGCAGATCCGTATCAGTCAAATCTCTGAGTTAGATAGAGTGTGTGGATCTCCGTTATACCCAAGGTGCTGCTGGGCCTCAGTGGGGTGAATGGAGTTGTTCAGGCTCGCTCAGCTGATAACTCTAACAGGTAGGATTTGAGCCCGGGTATAACTGCAAAGCCTCAGTGCTGCCCACCTCGGACCAAAAAACCTGCTTGGCCCCTGAATGACGGAGATCTACCCTTAAGTCATGCACACACCCTGTCCTCCCCCAGCCCGTGCCTGCCCCAGCGTCACTGGTGACCTGGAAGGAACACTGGCTGCTAATCGATGTTACACAACGGGGACATTTGTTGATGCCAATTGCAAACTCTTGCAGTCTATATAGATTAAGCCACTGCCGCCAACTCCAGGAGAGTAAATGAGCCTTTCCAACGGCTGCTGAAATAAATTTAAATGACAGCACCGAAGGGCCGGGAGACTGTGGCTGAGCGAGTGTCTCTCTACAGAAAATTGACAAGGACAACTATCCGTCTGAGGGCCTTTGTCTCCAGGATGTAATTCCTCTCTATCTAGAGATCACCGCTGGGGATGTTCTGACCGCTCCAGCTTCCCGTTGAGGGGCTGTGATTGCAATGATGACAGTGAAGAGCAGGACAGCAGCTGACGTCCACTGGGTGCTCACCATGGGCGAGGCGCTGCCCGGAGTGCTTTGCATACACCAAGTGCTGCCTGATGACAACCCCGGGGAATAGGGAATAACAGCCCCATTGACAGCAAAGGGAACTGAGGCTCAGAGAGTGAAGCCACTGGAGCAACCGGCAGACCCGGGTCTTCACACATTTATTTATTTATTTCAGAATGTTACAGGGGTCCAGATGTTTTGGTGACATGGACTGTTTTCGTACCATTTGAATGAAAGTTAGGAAGGGAGGGAGGGATGAAGGTAGAAATGAAGGAAGGAAGAGAAAGTAAAAGAAGGAAGGGAAAGAAGAAAGGAGGATGTGAAGGGAGGGAGAGATGAGGGAGGGATGGAGGGAAAAGAAAGATGGAGATGGAGAGAAGGAAGGAGGAGAAAGAAGGAGAGGGCGGGAGGGGAAAGGGAGGAGAGGAGGCAGAGGCCAGCCTGGCAAGCCCGGGCACCAGCCTTAGGAAGAGGAACACCCTAGGAGGTCCTGAGCCCCAGCTAAGCTAACTGATGTCTTTTCTCCTCTTCCAAGATGCTCACCCGGAGAGAGACCTCGGCCCTTCAAGTCCTTACGTCCTGCCCTCAGCAGCACTGGAGAGCAGCGGTCTGGGCACAGAGAGCCCCAAAGAGAGAGTGGCAATGGCCCCTCCCAATCCCACGGGGGAAGAACTTGGCGAGCTGGACTTGGAAGGGACAGTGCCCTCTGCGCATCATGACACCCCAGTCCTGTCACTGCTGCTTCCAGAGGAGGCCAGCACCAAGCATACCTTGTCCCCAGGGAAGAAGCTGCCTTTGCTCAAGCAACTAAACTCAGCCAGGAAGCAGCTGAGGCCCAAGGCCACCTCCACAGCCACCGTCCTGAGAGCCGGGTCCCAGCCAGCGCCCTCAGGCCTGGGTCCCCTCTCATCCCCCACAGAGAAGCCTCACCCAGCAGGAGACCTGGACCCTGTTGTTGCCTCCGAGGGGGCCTCAGAAGTGCCCCTCTGGACTGAACAGAAGGAAGGAGCTGACCCCACGACACCCGCACCCCTGCAAATCTCTCCATTCACCTCCCAGCCCTATGTGGCCCACACCCTCCCCCAGGAGGCTCCCCCGGAGGATGCCAGCTCCACAACCCTGATGGACAAGGGTGAGAACGAGCTGACTGGGTCGGCCTCAGAGGAGAGCCAGGAGACCACTACGTCCACCATCATCACCACCACGGTCATCACCACGGAGCAGGTCCCAGGTAGGCAGCCCCCCAGTTCTCTGGGTCCTCCTGCAGCAACCACAAGGCACCCACTGTGCCTGGAGCATAAGGGAACGGGGGTCTGAGGAAGCTCAGGCCTCACCATTAGTTACCGTGTGTGGACTATCAGCTTGGCCTTGTGGCTCAGAATTAACATCCCCATTGTAAAGATGAGACCCCAAGCAACTTGCCCAAGGGCATGCAGCTAATGAGAGGGACTTGAAACCTTTTCATCTTGGAACAAAACTCTTTCACCTGCTTGGGAGGAAATGACCTTTCCAAAACACTTTCACCCTTAGGTGTGTTTCTGAATGAACGCACCTTACTGAAATGTAGACTTAATGAAATGCACCTCCATGGGCCAGTCTTTCTTCTGTCTTCTCTCTCATCTTCACACATGAAAAGGGGACCCCTTATTGTCAAGCATACATGGATTTTAGACAAATGCAATGGGTCCAAATCCTGCTCACTGTGTGGGCTTGGCCCAGACAACACCCCTCTCTGCACATCTGTGTTCTTACCCCTAAAATGGGAATGAAATATCAATCCTATGCAATGAGTGGATCCCCCCCCATAGACTGGCTAGAAGGGGGCCCAGCGGGAGGTGTAACAGTAGATAGTCACTTTGTGTCCATTATTGATACTTTTTATCATCATGTCCATTCTGGAGCTGAAGAATCAACAGCAGAAGAAACGAGGACAGGAAAATACCAGTCCCCATAGAGGCCCCGTCCCACCCCCCAGCCCATCTGAGTTCCATCTGAGTTGTTCCTCATGTCCTAATTAAAGCACTTCCCTCCAGCTCTCTGCAGTGTGAGCTTCTCCGATCCCGAGGGGTACATTGACTCCAGTGATTACCCACCGCTGCCCTTCAACAACTTCCTGGAGTGCACGTACAACGTGACCGTGTACACCGGCTACGGAGTGGAACTCCAGGTAACCCTGGAGAGGTGCCTGCAGCAGAGGCCTCTCCCGCAGGAAGTCTATGGAGGATTGGCTGAGTCAGACTTACTGTTATCCATCCTAACCAGTTTGGTGCTCTCTTTTCTGTAACCAGGGCAATTTTGGCTGGGTTTTGGTGAGTGAATAGGAGTTCTCAACTCAGTGACCCTCTGAAATAGCTTGTAATACATAGACAAGACGTGCTGATAAATAGTGAGGCCTTATATCTGAGAGGAAATTTCCTTGATGCCCTCTCTCTCTCTAACATATAACATGCACACTCAAGCAAGCCCCACTTGGTTCATTTGATTCTTAAAATTTTGCCTACAAAGGAAGAAAGACAAAGCAGGTGGCATAGTGCTCATACATCTAGGTTTTCGGTCCTACCTCCTCCAGCTACAATAGCTTGACTTTGACTAAGGAACTTCAACTTGCTGAGCTCCAGTTTCCCCCTATGTAAAATAATGTTGCTACATTGCAGAGTTTCAAGAAGGAATAAATATGGCAAAGCACAGGGAGCAGAGGACATCGGGCCGGAGCCCAGCAGAGAGAGAGAGAGGGAGGGAGGGCATAGCAGGCACTTTACCAGTTATCCTCAGCTAGCTGATCACCCTAATTCCAGGTCTTCCCCAATCACCATCCCATCTTTACAAGTCGTTTAAAATCAAACAAAGAAGACCCAGCTGGAAGTGGTGAGCTGTCCAGCTCACTGCCCCATGGAGGAGAAAAGGGAAGTGAAGCTGGAAAAGGCAGCTGGTACCACATGATGTCAGACCCTTCTGGGCCACATTAGAGATCTCGATATGTCCCTTTTTCTAACCGGCCATAAAGACCTACCGTAAGGCTTTGACCTACAGTACGACCTTACCAGAACATTGTTTAGGAAAGCTTTTCCGTTACTTGTATGAGACAGATTAAGCCCCTCAGAAGCTCTTTGCAGCCCCCAGAGCTTTGCCACATTATAGGTGCTTAATAAATGTACACAGAAATAAAGTAAACTGGAGGAAATTTGTATTCCAACAGCTTCTGGACTTAATAAACCCCTTTCTCCCTCCATAAATGAAGAGACCCACTATGTGTCTAGTACTGTGTGGAGCTCTTTATCAGAAACAGTAGAATTCATTCACACAGTGGAACGTGGTGTTGTGTGAAACGATGCAATGCCTTCCCTGAAAGAGTTCACAGACTGAGACAGAAATTCCTAGGATGCTATGTGAGAAGGATTCCAGCAGGTGTTGATAGAGGATGTTGTGGAATCACAGTGGAGGAATAGGCAAGCTCCTAGGAAGTCAGGCAAGGTCTCACAGAGGAGGGCAACTTTCATGGGGTTTTGGTGAATGAGTAGGAGTTTAGCAAAGAGAAATAGAAGATTTATAGCTTGAAAAAGAAAGGGCTGTGGGTAACGTTTGCCCTGCTGAGACAAGAGTCAAAAGGGCTCGAATTCCAACCCCTCATCATGGCATAAATCTTCCAACTGAGGACTGGGACCTGACTAAAGTCCCCCCACCACACACACGATCCATGTATTCAGCCCCTACAATATCTCCCTTCTTTCTCCTCCAAACCTAGAAAATGGAAATGGCCAACAAGTGGCCAGTTCTCTGAAGAAAGAACGGATTGCCCTGGAGCTGTAGCCACCATTGGGAGGATAAAAGGGTGGCCTGAGAGGGCCCTGAGAAGTGAAGCCCTCACGCCCCACCTCCCAGCTCACGCAGAAGGGGAGAATGTATCATAAACACTGACTGAGAACCCACCATGTGCCAGGCACTGGGGGCACAGAAGGCCATAGAGAAATCCCTACCCTTGTGGATGGAGCTTACATTCTGGTGGAATCCTTCTTCTGTCTCCCTGGAGACTGGACCTCAAGCACAAGTTGATCGAACCCCTGCCTCCACTCAGCAGCTCCAGGAGAATCGATCCCACCACCAGCCAGAGCCTCTGTCAAGGGCCTCTCTCATAAGTGGCAGCTGTGGGGGTCTCGTAGACCACGGGTCCCTTGCAATGCCTCTGCCCCACAGCTTGGTTTCACTGTCCCCTCAGCCTTAATTACTTGTATAAGACAGATGAAGCCCCTCAGCAGCCTTGATGCTCCCAGGGCCCCTGTGGGCTGGGCCCGGGGCCCCTGAGGCCCATTGACATGGGGCTGGTCGGCAGGGGCTGCATTGATACCTTCGCAGCCTGGGAGGCCCTGTCTCACATATGACTCAGAGCTCCTCTCTGTGTCCCTGTGTGTCCCCAGGTGAAGAGCGTGAACCTGTCCGAGGGGGAACTGCTCTCTATTCGCGGGGTGGATGGCCCCACCCTGACCGTCCTGGCTAACCAGACACTCCTGGTGGAGGGACAGGTAATCCGAAGCCCCACCAACACCATCTCTGTCTACTTCCGGACCTTCCAGGACGACGGCCTTGGGACCTTCCAGCTGCACTACCAGGGTAGGGTCAGGCCAAGGCTTATGAGATATAGGCATGTGCCTCGGTTTCCCTCTGGAGCCAATTCTCAAACTTCTTGTCCAAGGGACCTCTCTGGCAGTTTGGTAAAACCTATGAACCCCTTCTGAGAATAGCATTTTTAAAAGCATAAAATAAAATATATGCAATTTTTAAAAGAAGCCAGTCATAATGAAGCACAGTTGTCAAAATGTTGTTCTCATCTAGGATATAATAATCCTTGTGCTTCTTTTTTAATTCATTAAATAATAATATCACTTAGCAGTTCTGATAATTACGCTAATTTCAAAGTACTGAACAGCATAAGAAGTATGTCAAGAGATTCATTCTGATATGGAAAATGTCTGGGATTCTCTTGGTGACAAAATCACAGGTTCTGCTAGTATGTTGCAGGGTTTTGCCTACATTCGTAATGAAAGGAAGTACTGTAGTTCATTTAGAGATTAATGAAAATAAGCAAACCCTCTTCCCCATTCAGGTTCACAGTCCCCACGCCGAACACGTGGGTCCTGAGTGAGTTTGTAGACACTGCAAAGCGCCCGCAGCCCTGAGGTCCTTCTCTTGTGCTCTTCCTCCACCATGTTTCCCGCTCTCCTTTTAGTCTAAGTCTCCTCTGTTTTGCTTCTATTCATTCTTTCCTCTTCTTTCCTTTCTCCTTCCTTCTCTCAGCCTCCCTCTTCCTTTATTTCTTCCTCTGCCGCTGTCCCTCTCTTCCTTCCTATCCCCTTTCCTCCCCTTCCTCTCCCTCCCTCCCAGTTGCTCCTGGGCAGATCTCAGGTCTCCCTTCTCTCAACCAGCAGCTCCCCTTATACCTGCCAGCCGCCAAAATAACTGAATGGAAAGCGGACTTGTGGGCCATGCTCACACCTCAGCCTCCCAAAGTGCTGGGATTACATCGTGATGCTGGGAACCATTCACATGTGTAGCAAATTAACATCTGAAAAAAAGACAATTTTTGTTAACTTTTCCCTCACCTGTTCCTGAAACAGGTAGATGACTGTGTGGGGGTGTGTCCTCTTTACCATGACTTTTCAATACGGAGGCTGTTCTTTCCTGGTGCTGGAAATTTAAAGATGAAATAATAATAATAACTTGATGAGCCATGAACTTGAATTTACTCCTCCTAATTAATATAGATATTCTAGGCTGTAGGAGAGTTCAGACCATGGTCTAGGGTGGAGCTAGGATGCTCTGTTTTTGAAAACTGAGGAGCTCAGCATGGACCTCACACCTCGTCCCACCCTGTGACCTGTGAGTGTCATGTGCTGGACATTGTGCTAAGGAGGCACTTTTTTGGCATTGTGGCTTTCAATTCCCACTACCGTCTGTGAGGTGGGGATAATTCTCAGCTCCACCTGAAAGATAAAGACAGTGAAGTTCAGGGCACTGAGTCCTTGTTTCAAGGTCACATGGATTCCAAGTCATAGAGAAGGAAGGTAAGCTCACGTTGGTCCAAAGCCCAAGCACTTGCCTCCCACACCAGTTTTGTTTTTGTTTTTGTTTTTGTTTTATTGTTGGGGATTCATTGAGGGTACAGAGCACCAGGTTACATTGATTGCATTTGTTAGGTAAAGTCCCCTTTATAATTGTGTCCCACCCCCAGCCCCTCTCTCCTTCCCTCTCTCTGCTCTCCCCTTCCCCTACCCCCCACCATGTACTAGAACAGTTGTTTATAAGCTTTCACATCCTTGGGCATTTTTCCTGAACGGCTGGTCCAAATGCTGAGAGTCTCTCTCTGTCACCCAAGCTAGAGTGCAGCTGTCACCATAGCTCTGTAACCTCAAACTTTTGGACTCAAGTGATCCTCCTGCCTCAGCCTCCTGAGTAGCTGGAAACATAGGTGTGCACCACCACGTCCAGCTCATTTTTCTTTTCTTTTCTTTTCTTTTCTTTTCTTTTCTTTTCTTTTCTTTTCTTGCAGTTTTTGGGTGGGGCTGGGGCATATGTGGCTGGCGCCCTACTCCTTTGAGCCACAGGCACCACCCTAATTTTTCTATTTTTTATAGAGACAGGGGTCTCACTGTATTGCTCAGGTTGGTCTCGAACTCCTGACCTCAGGCAATCCTCCCACTTCGACCTCCCAAAGTGCTGGGATTACAGGTCTGAGCTAACACACCCAGCCTCAAATGCCTGCATTTTTAAATAAATACCCAAGATGTGGGTGCAGGTGGGCCAACCTTTCTGAGTGATCCTGCTTTTCATATTTCCAAAGATAAGGCCATTCTATCTGGCTGTAGAGAGCAGCTCAAATGAGGTATGGGGACTCACTTTTCACTCCAAACCTACCGTCCCTACTTAGGCAGGACAGGAAGTTTTGAACCCCAGGAAAGTGCTCACCTGGCAGCTCCAGCACCGTATGATCAATGAGAGTCAGAACAACACCGTCCTCTGGCGCTCTGCAGTCCCCGCGGCCTCAGCTTTCCTCCTCAGCACAATCTGGCCCCCAGGCTGCAGGCCACGTTCTTGATCTCCTCTTCGGAGGGATAACACGTCCTGCCTTTGCATGTCTTCCCAGCCTTCATGCTGAGCTGCAACTTTCCCCGGCGGCCCAACTCCGGGGATGTCACAGTGATGGACCTACACTCGGGCGGCATGGCCCACTTCCACTGCCACCTGGGCTACGAGCTCCAGGGCGCCAAGACGCTGACGTGCATCAACGCCTCCAAGCCCCACTGGAGCAGCCCGGAGCCCATCTGCTCAGGTACATGCCCCCCTCAGCCGGACCAAACTCACGGGGGAAGACTAACCCCCAGGACATCAGGAGTGACCTCAGGGAATGGCTCTCAGCCCAGGGGAACAGACGGCTCCCAATACAGATGACTGCTGCCCTTGAAATTTTTTTATTGAAGCAAAATACACATAACATGAAATTTCCCATTAAAGACATTTCACGCATTGACAATATTGTACGACCACCACCACTACTTGCCGTAGAAACCTTTAGCACCCCAAACAGAAACCCCGGGGCCTTTGGCAGTCACTCCCCAGACCCACCCCAACCCTTGGCAACCACCAGTCTGCTTTCCATCTGTGTGGATTTGCCTACTGCGAACATTTCGTGTAAATGGAACCATACAATATGTGACTGGTGCCTGGCTTCTCTCACTCACCCTTGTGTTTCCAAGGTCCGTGCCCACTGTAGCCTGGATCAGAGCTTCATTCCCTTTCTGGCTGAGTAATAGCCTACTTCGCCACATTTTCTCTGTTCATTCATTAATGGATACAATTGAGTTGTTTCCACTATTTAGCTACTATGAACAACTGCTATGAACATTCACATCTAAGTATTGGTGTGGACATAGTTTTCATCTTTCTTAAGTTTACAGAATTTCCGGGTCATCTGGCAATTCTATGTTTAGCTTTTTGAGGAACCATCAAAATGTTTTCCACAGCAGCTGCACCTTTTTTTTTCTTTTTTTCTTTCTTTTTTTCTTTTTTCTTTTTTTTTTTGAGATAGAGTCTCACTTTGTCACCCAAAGTAGACTGCAATGGTGTCATTGTAGCTTCTTGCAATCTCAAACTCATGGGTTCAAGTAATCAGCTTCCCAGAGTGTTAGGATTACAGGGGCATGTCCCGTGCCTGGCCTGCACCATTTTATTTTCTCCCCAGCAATGTACGAGAGTGCCAATTTCTCCACATCCTTACCTGCACTTGTTATTTTCCATGTTGCTGTTTTTATCATCGCCATCCTAGTGGGTATGGAGGCAGTTCATCGTGCTTTTGATTTGTTTTTCTCTGATGACTAATGTCAACCATCTTTTCATGTGCTTGACGGCCATTTGTGTGTCTTCTCTGCAGAAATGTCTATTCAAGTCCTTTGCCCATTTTTTAATTGGGTTGTTTTTGCTGTTGGGATGTAAACCTTCTTTATATATTAGGATGATCTGCTATCTGACTTGCAAATATTTTGATTCATTCTGTGGGCTGTCTTATAACTTAATCATTTGATGCAAAAAGGTTTTAATTTTAATAAAATTAATAATTTGTTCTTTTGTTTCTTGCGCTTTGCCTATGACTGCTGCCACTTTCTGAGCTCAGCCAACATGTGGCAAGCATCATACTAGGAGCTGCACTTGGTCCTCACAGCAAACCTACGTGACAGGACCCATTATCCCCATTTTACAGATGAGGCTTGTGAAGGTGAAGTCACTTGCTCAAAGTCACCACATAGAAATTGTTGAGGGTAGCCTGCTAATGAAGTCTGATGCTCTCTAGTAAAGAAAAAGCCTGCTGGGTTTGCAGATAGAATCTGAGACTTCAAGGACAGAGGAATTTTAAGCATATGTTGGTGCTTGTTTATCATTCAGAGACTTTTCTATACAGATCTATGTAATCATTCAAGAAACATCCACTGACTGACTGTTAGCTGCCAGACACTGCCTGAGTTCTACGGCTGCTGCAGGGACCCTGACCCACCCCCTGCCCTCACAGGCTACAGGGACCCTGACCCACCTCCTGCCCTCACAGTGTCTTGTCGAGGTGCGGACGCAGTGTGTGCAAATGACTAAACAAGGGAGCAAATGTGCTGCTAACGGACTGCGCTAAGTCCCAGGAAAGAAGTTCACAGGGCGGCATGCAGCAGAGGCAGCAAGCACAGAGGAGACATGGACGTAACTGTGAGAGGTGTCACCATGGAGAAAAGGCGACAGGGCCTGACCTGGGACAGGGACAGTGATGCGTGAGGGGTCAGGGAAAGGTCACCTGATCAGAAGACTCTTAAACCAAAGTCTGGAAGTTAAGTTGGAGATCATTAGACTGAACTGCAGATGCAAAACGGAAAAGTTATTCCAGGCAAAAGAACCAGACTAGGAAAGGCTCAGAGGTGAGAAGAATTTGACGACTTTGAGGAAGTTAAAAAAGAAAGTAGCAATCGGGAGAAACTAGAAAAAAATGGCAGGATAGGAGGCTGGAGCAGGGGGCAGCAGGCATATTGCTCCTACATCACAAGACGATGGGAGTGACAGGAAGATGTGAGCAACAGGAAGGACGTGTCTGTCAAGATGTCAGCAGAGGAGGGATGTTCTGGTTTCTCTGTGGAAAACAAAGTGTGGGGGTGGTCAGGTCAGAAGAGGTCCGTGGAAATCGGCTAAGACGGCAGCTGCTATTTCACGTGGGCTCAGCGAGGCAGGACTGCCCCTTGACAGTTGAAGAGAATGGGGTTTAGAGAGCAGTCCCCTGGTTAGAGAGGCAGAACTCAGGACAGCACCTTTTTCTCCTGAGCTCTTTGCCTTAGACCTTCTGATGAGATTATTAATGCAGAATCCTGGGCCCCATGAACGATCAACTGAATTAGAACACTTTATTGTATTTTATTTTATTCATTTTTAGAGACAGGGTCTTGCTCTGTCATCAATGCTGGAGTGCAGTGGCAAGATCTGCAGCCATGACCTCCTGGGTTCAAGCAAACCTCCTGCCTCACCTTCTCAAGTAGCTAGGGTAGAGACAAGGTCTTTCTATCCTGCCCCGACTAGTCTGGAATTTCTTCACATTCCTTCAAGCAATCTTCCTGCCTCAGTCTCCCAAATGCTGGGATTCGAGGCATAAGCCACTGCACCTAGTCAGGATTTTTATTTTAACATGCCCCCTGGGTGATTCAAGTGCAAATTAAAGTTTAAGAAGCTCTAGGCGGTAGCAAACTGTCCCTGCACTAGTGGGCCCAGGATTGACCGTCTCCAGCTATCAAGAAAGCAAAAATCTTTTTAGATTGTCAAAAATCCTGATAGTGGTTGAGAAAGGATAGGTTGCCCGTGTTAATTGAGCACCTACTATGTACCAAGCTATGCTGCATGTACAGAGAGAATACTGGAAATAATAAAACATAATTTCTGCCATCCAGGCATTCACAGTCAAGTGGAATTAAAAAGTAAATGAGAGCTGATCATAAAGTCTGAGATTTCACTGTGGCAATATTGCTCCCCCAAGGCCCTTCAGAACTTTGCTTTTTTTTTTTTTTTTTTTTGGTTTGTTTAAAAAAAAAGCAAATTCAGACCACAGGGCAGTTGGTCTCCATGCCTCTCTCATGTTAATTTTTATCTATGTGCAAAATCAGAGAAGAATTAAGCCTCAATTTGTGCTAAGGAAGATGGATGGAGAGCCGTGGCTGGCAAACGGAAGCCAGACAGAGCCATCAGTCGGCTTAATAAGGCTGGGAAGGGAGCAGAAAGGCAGGGAATGATCAGCAGCTCGGGTGGACAGATGGCTGGCACTCCCCACCAGAGACCGTGCCCTCCGTCTTCAGCTCCCAAGCCACAGGGCAGTAATGCTGGCTGCGTTTTGAGCATCTCCTTGGTGCCAGGAATGGCACCAAGCTCTCTGTACCATCATTTCATTGTTTTCTCGCTGCCGTCCTGTAAGGAGGATGGAATAATTACCACCATTTCACTCACCTCATGTGGGTAAACTCAACTCATAGAACTTAAGTGACTTGTCCTGAAGCCACAGCAAATAATGAGCACAAGCCAGGGTTGAACCTAGAACTATCTTACCTGAAAGCACAATCTCTCCACCAAAAAATAAAGAGCCTGGAGAAAGAAATGAACCTCATGCTCAGTCCGTGGTCCAGAGAGAAGTGTGGCGTTTCTTGGCAATGGCTTTGCTGACTGTCACGGGTGAGTCTGGAGCAGAGAGGATGGCTATCTACCCTTTCCTCCTATCACAGCCCTATTCAGTCATACAGTCATTCAACAAACTATTCAGTCATACAGTCATTCAACAAACATTTAATGGGTGCCTGCCATGTGTCAAGCTTTGAACGTGTGCCAGAGGGCCAAAAAAAAGCATTCATTTTTCAATCAATGAACATTTATGAGGCACGCACTATGTTTCACGCACCTTTCTGGATCAACAGAGGGTGAAGCAGAGGCTTCAATAACAGATTCTGGAGTGAGGCAGGCTGAGCTCCAGTGCCATCTGCTCCACTCACAGGCTGTGCGTCCTTGAGCAAGTGACTTAACACCTCCAATCTTCTCTTACCTCTGTTTCAAAATTAATGGTTTCTGTTTATTTAATAAATATTTACTGATCATATACGGTGGGGTCTTCTGGTTTCTGCCGGTATGATGAAAAACCAACAAAATAACAGTCCCAGCTCTTGTGGACCTGCCAACCACGAGATGGCTCCGAACTACCTGGCGGCTTTTGCTTTTCATCCTCTGGAAATGGAGGGGAAATCAAGAGCCATGTCAGATTTTTGTAAGCTTCTTTGATCTAAAATGCAGAAATAGATCTCAAGACTTGAAACCCCGGTCATGGTTTGGGGCTTTCCCCCACCACCACCCCCTGGCTGTACTGCACGCCCCTTCCTGTGGTGAGAGGGGTCTGCTGCCCACCAACTCTCCCCGGGTCCGGAGGATTCAGAGTCGGTCTCCCTAACAACACATGAGAAAACCATTTCCCAATATCTCCGAAGCATACGAACAAGAACACCTCCTTATTAGTGAACTAGAAAGAGTTCTTTCCCATGAACAAATCACTTGGTAATATTTCTTTATTAGATTTTTATGATAAAAGTAATATATGACTTTGGCAAAAAAAAAAAATTCAAGAAATACAGAAGTGTATAAGGAAGAAACAAATCACTTTTATATTCCTGGTCTCAACTGATCCTTGCAAATAGCTCATTAAAATAGGTGTGACAAACCATTTTCTAACTTGCTGGGGTTTTTCCCTGAAAAAATAGTGAACATTTTTCTATATTCTTTTTTTTTTTCTTTCAGTTAGAGTCTAACTCTGTGGCCCAGGCTGGAATGCGGTAGCACAATCATAGCTCACTGCGGCCTTGAACTCCTGGGCTCAAGGAATCCTCCTGCCTCAGCCCCTTAGTAGCTAGGACTACAGGCATATGCCACAACCCCTGGATAATTTTTCTTATCATTTTGTAGATACAGGGTCTCCCTATGTTTCCCAGGCTGGTCTTGAATGCTTGGCCTCAAGCAATCCTCCTGCTTTGGCCATCTAAGGAATCCTATATTCTTTTTTTGAGACAGAGTCTCACTATGTCACCCTCAGCAGAGTGCTATGGCATCACTGCTCACGGGAAACTCCAACTCTTGGGGTTAATCAATTCTCTTGCCTCAGCCTCCCAAGTAGCTGGGACTACAGGTGCCCACCAAAACGCCCAGCTATTTTTTTGTTGCAGTTGGCATTGCTGTTTTTGGCTGGCCCAGGCTGGGTTTGAATCCACCACCCTGGGTGTATGTGGCTGGCGCCCTACCCACTGAACTACGGGTGCAGCCAGGAATCCTATATTCTTAAGCATTCCTTGAGGACGTGGTCTTTCCTAACCACAGGAGTGAAATTATGTACAGTTATGTATCATGACTTAACGACAGGGATGCCTCTTGAGAAATGTGTCCTTAGGTGATTTTGTCAGTATGCAAACATTACTGAGTGCATTCACACAGCCTTATATGGTACAGCCTCCTCCACACCTGGGCTATATACGCTGTTACTCAGAGATCATAAGCCTGTGCAGCATGCAACTGTACTGCATCTCCCAGGCAATTGTAATACAGTGGTAAGTATTTCTATATCTAAACCTAGAAAATGTACAATAAAAATAGGGCCTGGTAATCTCACGGGACCAGTGTTTTCTATGTGGTCTGTCATTGACTCAAACGTCATGATGTGGTGCATGACTGTATTTCACTGACGTCTGGAAGTGGACACCATGTGATTTCTCACTTTCTACTCTTCGAAACACGATAGCAGTGAAAATCTTTATTGCTAAATCTTTGTAAAAAATCTCCAGATCTCTTTTTAGGATAAATGTCCAGAAGCCTAATTCCTGGGTCAAAGTGCTGAAATTATTTTCTAGACTTCTCACTGAATAGCTCTCCTGCAAGCCCATCACAGTTTGCACCCTAACCAGTTGTGGATAAGAACAAGCATTTCCCACCACTGTTACCATCTTCAACTGTTACTACTGCTTTTTACCTTGGCCAGTTAGGTGGATGAAAGCGGAATGCAGTTTAGATTGACGTTTCTTTTATTATTAGTGAGGCTGAATTTTTTTTAGTGCTTACTAAGTCCTCAAAATGTTTTCCTTCTTTTGTGAAATGCCTATTCACATCCTTCTTGATTACCATTTTATAATTAACACCAGGGCAAAGCTAGTGCCACGCAGAAGTCCTTAAGCGGCAGTCGTTCCCTACCATGAAACACACACGGCGATGGCTCCAACCCTGGAGTGAGATCCTCTGTTTTAACAGGACGATTTCCTCCCAGGAGAACAAGGTGCTTCCAAGCTCTCCTTTCCCTGCCCTGTTTTTCCCACCACAGGTCTCTGGTATTTCACCCTGGCTTAGGGTTAGAGGTAAGGGTCGGGGAAGAAGGAAACACTAACTTCCTTGTCCCTGTTCTCCCTCTCCCCCCCCCCCACTTTCTGATCCAGCCCCGTGCGGAGGGGCAGTGCACAATGCTACCATTGGCCGCGTCCTCTCCCCCAGTTACCCTGGAAACTCCAATGGGAGCCAGTTCTGCGTGTGGACCATCGAAGCTCCGGAGGGACAGAAGCTGCATCTCCACTTCGAGAGGCTGTCGCTGCATGAGAAGGACAGGTAAGCTTCTGTATATACCATGGAATACTACGCAGCATTAAAAAAAGATGGAGACTTTACCTCTTTTATGTTTACGTGGATGGAGCTGGAAAATATTCTTCTTAGGATCTCAGGAATGGAAAAAAAAATCCAATGTACTCAGTACTACTACTACAATATATAATCACTCACACTTTCATATGAGAGATGCATCACAACTATAGCCCAGGATGAAGGAGGGAAGGGGTGGGGGAGGGGAAGGAGGGGGTGGTTCCATAGAGGGAGGGATAACGGTGGGACCACACCTATGGAGCATATTGCAAGGGTACAAGACAAATCTATCAAGTATTGAACACGAATGTCTTAACACTGATTAAGTAAATGAGGCGAAAGCTATGTTAATTAGTAGGATGTAAGCACTCCAATTTGTACAAATAATCAACACATTGAATCCCACAAAGGCATAAATGTATTCCTGATCTATGTATATATGATTTAATAAAAATAAATACCTTAAAATAACTTTTAAAAAGATTTTTTTAAAAAGAGCAAAGGACAGGGAAACCTCGACAGGTCTGTGCACAGCCCCTTTCCCTCCCAGAGTGTTAGACCGTGGCCAAGGATTTGGGGTCCTGACATGGGTGAAGCTTTAACTCATGGAATTCAAGAAAGGAAAAGGTAGGGTGGGTGACAAGGCTCTCACAGACCCTCAGCTTCAATCTCTTCATTTTACGATAAGGAAACTAGAGCACAGAGAGGGAAACGGACTTCCCCCAGGTCACACAGCAGGGCGGAGGCAAAACAAGACGGGCATCCAGGCCCCACATTGCCTGCCTCATGCTTTCTCCTTTTATCATCGTTAGTATTATTATTATTTCAGGTTCACTGAGGGCACAAAGAAGTAGGTCACATGGATTGCATTTGTTAGGTAAAGACCCTCTTATAATTGTTTCTTGCCTCTGAGAGGCGTGCCCTGCACCCTAACCCCCATCCCACTCTCTCCTTCCCTCTCCCCATTCCCTCCTTCCGCTGCCCTCCCACCTTGAATTCATTTGAGTTTTTCTCTTATGAGGGTAACGCACATCCTTTTTAGCAGTGGAACAAGGAAGGAGTGTTACTGATCACCTGCTCTGTGCCCAGCCATGTGTCAGGTGCCCTGGGGAACAGGAGAGAATTAAAGAACAGTGGTTCCCGGCATGATATGATAAAAGGTCGAAATAGAAAATTAGACTAATACCCATAACACAACTCGAAAGAAGTCCCAAGGCAATATCTAAGCAAAAGCATGTCTGTAGCCTCTAAGAAATAGGCATAGAATCCAGAACCTTAAAACTTTGATATTTAGGAACTTATTCTAGAATACGCTTTTAAAACAAGGGCCTTAGTTGCTTTCTTAGTTTGGGTTCCCTTGGAAGCAGACATGGTGGTAAGGGTGTGAGGGAAAGTGGTTGATTTGGGAGTTGAACTTTTTTTGAGTGACCCTTTTTGTCAAAGGCTTCTGTTCTTTGAAAGAAGAGTCCTGGCACGTAGCCCCCAAGCTATACCAGAGTCAGCTGAGATTACAAGTTTGTGGAGATGCCCCTGCCCACCCCTGGGACGGCCCCTGGCCTCCACTGGGCCCCCTCCTTGTCTCAGCCATACTGGACACGTGGCAAAATGAACAAACTGTTGCTCCAACATTTATGCGTCTTACATTACAAATTCATCCGGGCAACATAAACCGTCTTTATGAGTCATAGTAAAAGGCTCAAAGGATTAGAAATGGGGGTTTATGACTCCCATAAAAGAAAGTTATCTAATTTGTATACTGTTTTCTTCCTCACTTTTGTATAATTTCTTTAAAAATACCAGGACTAACAAGCAGTCAAGTATCAAATGGTCTTAATAACCATAAAAATAAATATCCCACATTTTGTCTAATACATTTTATTTTTCAGGGCACTTTATCTTAAAATGTTCTCAAAGTGTATTTATAAGATAAGTTAGAAAGACGTAATCCTTCCTTTCATGCTGGGGAAATTGAGGCCCAAAGATGTTTTGAGACTTATGTAAATTCGGTTGATGGGGAGTTGGGGACTGGAAATCAGAGCTCCTGACTACATCCCATCCAGTGCTCTTAGGAATTGAGGATCAGAGTTAGAACCTTGTAGAGATCAAATGCTTAATAATATGACTTAAACACCTGCTCTGTCCTGGACACTTCATACGCATGGTCTCTCATCCCTGCACACTGACATAAGTCTGATGTACCCATTTTACAGATGAGAAATTAACAGATCAGAGAGGTAAATTTCTCTTGCTCGAAGTCATCCAGCTTAGAAGTTATACAGTTAAAACCTGGGACTCAAACCCAGGTTTTCCTGACTTTATATAAGCCACTGTTTCAGCAAAGATGTTAGTTCATTAATCCCAACTTCTCAATGAATGATATTATAACAAACATCAATTTGATAGTTCATTAACTGGTTTATTACATCACACTCATCAATTTCCCTCCAACCTCAGACTAAATCCATAGGGAGTCTAGGACAAGCATTCAAGCCCACTCTGTAGCAGAAGACACAGGTTCACTAAGGTGACACAGGTTGTGTGGGCAAGCAAAAGGCAAAGTCGGGTTTTGAATCCAGGAATGTGACTTTCCAAAGGCGGCGATCATAGCACAGCTCTTCCTCTGCTGCGTCCGTGGCCCAGGAAGATCTCTCAGAGTTCATCTTCTCCTTTCCTGCCCCCAGGATGATGGTCCACAGTGGGAAGACCAACAAGTCCGCTCTTCTGTATGACTCCCTTCAAACCGAGAGTGTCCCCTTCGAGGGCCTCCTGAGTGAAGGTAACACCATCCGCATTGAGTTCACGTCCAGCCAGGACCGGGCAGCATCCACCTTCAACATCCGATTTGAGGGTGAGAGTCCCTGGAGGGCCTTTCCTTCTCTTGGGCCTGTGGGCCTGGTGAATGAGAAGCATGGGGGGTGGGGGGGGCTGGTGCTGGGGCCTGGAGATAGAAATCTGGGCTGCTAAGGATGGGAAGACTCAGTGGCCACATAGGTCCTTTGACTTCCAAAGGCAGGCTTGACTCCTGGTTTTATTAACAATATCACCCACCATTTACCGGGTGTTTATTATGTGCCTGGTACCTTGTGTCCATTGTTTATTTGATCCCAACCACATTGAAATGTTAGAACTGTTACCATCTCCGGCTTTAGACGAGGAAACTCAGGGAACTGGGGCCACTTGCCCGACACCACCAGTGAACAAGAAGGGAGCTGAGATTTCTGTCTGGCATGTACGGGGTCCTCATCTTCCACTTTACCTTCCCCGGTGGACCTCTTAGAGTCCAGCCACCCCTTCCTCCAGGAAGAGCTAGCAAGGGCCTCTCCTGCTCTGGCCTTGGCCCTCTAAAAAAGGGCACTCTGAGTATTTCATGTATATTGAGGGAATTTCTGTTCTGGCTTCCCCAAGAAAAATTGGCCATTATCACAGATAAATTTATGGTTTCTGGTGGCATAAATCAGGACTCTGAAGTTGTGGGAACCCCATGGGGTATGAAAAGAAATAAAACACAACTCTCTGCAGGGCAGAGAAACTAGAGTCTTATTCCCATTTTAGATATTAAAAAAAAAAAAAATGAGGCCCCACACAGCCAAGTGAGGCCCAAGGGGTCTCATCAGGTCAGCTGGAACCAGGACACAGGTGCTGGTACTTATTTTCCTTGGGACTTTTCTAAACAGCAGGAGGGGGCCCATCTTCTGGGATACAGCACCCTGGGGCAGCCCCTGACTCGTCTGAGTGGATGTCTCTCTTTGTATTCCCACCCCAGCGTTCGAGAAAGGCCATTGCTATGAGCCTTACATTCAAAATGGGAACTTCACCACATCGGACCCAACCTACAACATTGGGACCACAGTGGAGTTTACCTGTGACCCTGGCCACTCCCTGGAGCAGGGCCCAGCCATCATAGAGTGCATCAACGTGCGGGACCCATACTGGAACGACACGGAGCCCCTGTGCAGAGGTGAGCGGGCTCTCTGCCGTCTTCCAGGGACTCTGCCCTGTGCAGGGGTGAGCGGGCTCTCTGCCGTCCTCCCAGGGACTCTGCC